TGTAATAATAAAAGGAAAACAAAAAGATCAAGTAAAAATACAAACAAATGTATCCTTTGTAAAAAATAAAAAAGGGTGTAAAAAAGGAAAAAGATCAATGATAAATAAACTTGTCAAACAATAAATATATTGTAGAAAAGGGAAAATAAATGTATTGTAAAAATACAAACTTGAACATTTTTAAATTCGTTATAACAATTTTTTATTTAATAAAAAAAATTCGGGAAAAGATTTTGTTCGGTATAACAAAAATCCGTTATAACGAGGTTCGACTGTAGTGTATATTGTGCCAAGTTTACTACTAAATTATTTGAAATCCAAATCTGGTAAATTAGATTGTTTAAAAAGAAATATCAGGAAAACTATATAAAAATAAATGATACGAGCCACCCTTTTATTAATAATATTGGGGGGTTTATAGGTAAATAAGGGGGTGTAGTAGATTGGTGGTATTTTTCTTTTTTTACAGTTTAAAATAAAAAAAGATCTATTGTATCTATATAAAAAATTTAATATGCACTATCAATTATCCACAAGCTTAAATCGATCATTAATTAAAAGACAATTTTTATCATCATCAACATCATTATCAAATATAAATACAAGATTGGTATTAGGAAATTCAGGAAAATCAATCAATCAATCATTTCATTTTTCTTTTAAATTAACAGCTTTTTCAACAACATCAAAAATCACAAACAACAATAATGACAATTCTAATGTTTCTAGAGGCAGCAGTAACAACAATAATTTGAACTTATCAAAATTTGATGGTATTGTACTAGGTGTATTCAAGGATGGTACGTTAAGTCAAACTATTGGATCAAATAAAGTTCCTGAAAAATTTCAACAAACAATCAAAAAAAAACTTGAATATTATGGATGTAGTAAAGGAAATTTAGGTGAATGTAAATTGTTGTATGGAATTGATAAAATTGATGATGATGCTGCTGTTGATGTTGACAGTGGTAACAGTTTTCCTAAAAAAATTGCTATTGTTGGATTGGGCAAAAGAAGAGATTTCAAAAACCCTAGTAATGATCAAGAGTTATGTGAGGCTTTGGAAATTGCTAGAAATGCAGTAATGTTAATTATCAATCATGATAAAATGATAATTTATTATGATTTTAAACTGTTAGAATATCTCGTTAAATCATTACTTACTGTACATTATTACTATTTGCTTATTTTAGTCAGCTGTTGGAGTTCGCAGTCTAAGAGAAAATAACGCTAAAAATATTTTAGTTGATGTCATGACTAATGAACATGGTAAATTGATGTGTGTAATAATATAAAGTAATTTGTAATTTAATATTAATTAATATATTTGTAGGTGCTGCTGAAGGAGCAATACTTGGATTATATAATTACGATACTTTAAAATCTGTTAAAAATCAAAAATCACTGATAACAATTACACCACTTGGATCAAAATCATCATCATCATCATCCTATTCTTCTTCTCTAACTACTTCGTTTTCACCATCTGAAACAACAACTGGCATCAATAATTTTAAAGAGTTATCATGGGAAACTGGTTTGATTTATGCAGAAGCACAGAATTTTGCTCGTACACTAATGGAAGCACCAGCAAATTATATGACCCCAACAAACTTTACTGAATATGTGCAATCAAAATTTAATGGATTGTCAAATGTTGAGATAATTGTTCGTGATAAGGATTGGGTGGAAGAAAAAAAAATGGGATCATTTTTGTCAGTTTCCAAAGGATCTGATGAACCTTTGAAATTTTTGGAGATGCATTATAAAGGTGGCAGTGACAAGTCACCATTGTCGTTATTAGCATTGGTTGGAAAAGGAGTCACATTTGATTCTGGTGGTATTTCATTGAAACCATCTTCAAACATGTCAGAAATGAAGGCTGATATGGGTGGAGGTGCAGCTGTTTCTGCATCTTTGTATGGCATAGCAAAATTAAGATTACCAATTAATGTCGTAGCAACAATTCCATTATGCGAAAATATGCCTTCAGGTTATGCAACTAAACCTGGTGATGTTGTAATAGCGATGAATGGTAAATCTATCGAGGTTGGTGATACTGATGCAGAAGGTCGTCTTATTCTAGCTGATGCATTATACTACACCAGTTCAACTTTCAAACCTCATACTTTAATTGATATGGCTACCTTAACAGGTGCAATGGGTGTGGCATTAGGTAATGTTTATTCTGGTGTATTTACCAATTCTAATGTATTATGGCAACAATTATCAAGTTCTAGTAAAAAAACCAATGATAGATTTTGGCGAATGCCATTGGAAGATGCTTATAAAAAAGGGCTGGAGAAATCAAGTGTAGCAGATTTGGTTAATGTTGGTGGTGATAGGTATGGAGGGTCAAGTGTTGCTGCTGCTTTTCTAAAAGAATTTGTTAATGGATTATATAAAGATTTAAATGTGAAAAAAGATAGTGATGAGGTTGATGATGATGATGATGAAAGTGAAATTGGTGGTGTTAGAATTAAAGATGCAGATGAATTGAATTGTATTAGGTATGCACATATTGATATAGCTAGTGTTATGCTTACTACAGATGATTCTGGTTATAATATTAAAGGCATGAGTGGTAAGTGATTATCATTATTATTATTATTATTATTATTATTATTATTATTTTTATTTTTATTTTTATTGCTTTTAAATGAAAATGGTGAAATAGTAGTTGATAAAAAAAAAACCAATACAATCATTTAAAAATTTATATATATTGTTTATTTATAGGCCGTCCAACTAGGTCAATTATTGAATTTGCAAGGAATTTTGGTTAAGTAGAAATAAAAAGTGTCTATTTATGACTTGAACAAAAGAACATTTTACTCCAGATATCATCGCATTCTTAAATGGAGGTTTTGTCAGATGTGAACCTTCTTTCTAATTTCTTATAAAAAAAAAATTAAATATCGTTGATTTGTCTCTTATTCCATTTCTCATAATTGCATAAATAAATATATTTTTTTTCAATCAACTAATTTCATTTTTTGTCAATAAATATATAATATTTGTTTAATTATTAATGTACGTATAAGCTCAATAATCATCTAACGTTTTTATAGGAAAGATGGTTAAATCCATTTTATACATTTTTCCAATCTATCCTTCAAGTAAATAAAATTATTGAATAATTTTTATATTATTCAATAAAAAAAAATATTTACAAAGGAATACATGTCTTGATCTTTTTTTTCCCTAAAAAAATTTTTATTATATAGTGATAATCGTCACCTTCCTAAAAAGTATAGAACTCGAGAACCAGTGACTAAAAATTTTTGGCGTAGTGGCGCAGTGGACTAGCTCCTGCACCATATCCGATTTTGTAACTTCGTGTAATGATCCAAACTTTTTTTCGTCTTTGATAGCTTAGAAATTTTAGAAATTGGTTTTGAAAATAGTAATAATAATAAATAAATAAATTAATTATGAAACAAAGTAAAACTTTTATTATAAACAAAATTTTATATAATTATTATTACTACTATTTGAAAATTTTAATTTTTAAAAAAATTTTTTTTTGATTTGATTATACTAGATTTGAATAAACTTTCTCTCAAAGAGCTACATGAAAAATTAAAAAAGAATGATAGACTACTGTCACAATTGTAAGAAAAACAAGTGACCTTTTGATTTATGATGAATTGAACACTTGATTAATAATTATTTTTCTCCAAATTGGAAAAAAAATATAGAGATATAGTTGCACGACTTCCTGATAAAGGTCAAAATATCGTTGAAACAAGTGAACAGTTGAAGAAATTGATTAAAAAATTTGAAAATAACAACAATAATAATAATAACAGCAATAATAATAATAACAATAATAGTAATAGTAATAGTAATAGTAATAGTAATAGTAATAATAAATCAATTGATGAATTTGATGAATTTGATGAATTAGAATCAAAATTTAATAGATTTTCAATAAATAACGATAATAATAAAAACACCACCACAATTACTAATAATAATTATAACAATAATAATAAAATAAAAAAATCTCCATCAAAATTTTTTAAAGAAAAAAAAACAAATATGCTTTCAATTGAAGAATCAATAACATTACAACAACAACATAAAAAAATCGAAGAGGAAGTTAAATTTAAAAAATTAACAGATAGGTTTAATAAGATGACGATCGAGAAGAAAATTAACAAGAAAGGGTAAGATTCCATTCATCTCGTTCTACTTTATATATATCTTCAATGAACATAAGTAAATATATGTGATTTAATATATTATAATTATTTAATTATTATCAGATTTGATGATATGTCTTCTTCAGAAGAATCAGAATCAGATGAATATAACAATGACAATGAAGATGTTCATAATTATGAAGAAGACTATTATGAAGAAGATTATTATTAATTTATTTCTTAGATATATATTAATATAAAGGTATATAGCAATAGTAAAATAACACAATAAATTTAAAATGCAATGTAAAAAAAATATAACCAAGTTTAAAATCACCAATTATCTAATTCTGCTGGAGTGGGAGCAAGATCTAATTTATCAAATCTTGCTTCATCAAAATATTTCGCAGAAACTGATCGACCACCAAAAAATCTGCCATTCAAATCTTTTTTGGCTTTAATTGCTGCTTCTTTATCAACAAATTTTACAAATATTCTTACGGCCTGATTATCAGGTAATTTACCATTAGGAACCTATCAAAATATCATTTTTTTGTTAATTTCTACTATATTATAATAAATAATATGTAATATAAATATCATTTACCTCAAATATAAGACAACGTTCAACTGTCCCATATTTTTCATTACATTCATCTGCTGTTTCTTCTTGCAATGTATCATCAACTTGACCAGGACCAACCTTGAAACATATCATATATTAGATAAAAAAAATTTAGTTTCTATTAATTAAAATTTTTTTTTACTAAAAAATTTTTAAACATTTATATTGTGTGTGTGTGTGTGTTTATATACCATGTTTCTAAGTAAAATAACTCTCGAAGGTGTCTCTATATTTTGGATTGCCTTCTGGATAAGTTCATTGCCTACTTGAACTATTGGTTTTATATCAGATCAAGCTTTAATTAAATTAAATTAAACCACCCAAATATATATAAATGTTAATAAAAATATTCTGACCAGGATTATTAATATTTGATGAATTGTTGATTATAATTCCTGATCGAACATCAGTTTTTTTCACCATCAATGGAACATTAATTCCTTGTTCATTCTTTCCAAGACCTATAATAAGGTAAATATATCATTATATTATTATTGTTATTATTACTAAGGAAACACATGCTAACCTATTAATAAAAAATATTTACCTTGTCCTTCCTGCCAACCATATTTTGCAAGTAATCTATGGGCAAAATGCTCACCAGAACCAGATGTATTTGTAGGCTTTATTTCAGGTGATCTAAAGAAAAATTAAATCATAAAATTATTCAGTATATATAAATGTGTATATTCTTGATGTTATCAATTAAATATAACTATAGTAAATATAGTTGCTTTATATACTTTGAAGCTGACTCATTAACAACAGCAGCAGAGTTACTTAATTTTGCTCTTCTTAAAAATGCTTCTTCACCAGAAATATCCAAATCAAGTTTCGCTGTTGGTGGTGATGGTGCAGATTTTATTGGTGCTGGTGGTGGTGGCAATTGTGCAACATGTTCATCGCTATTCTTAGAGGAAGACGATTGTGGTGGTGATGGTGATGAATACAACGGCTTTGATGGAGGTGGATAAGAATCTTAATAAATATAATATAAATAATATTAATTATTAGATTGAATTAAATTTTACTTTGTTTAATTGATTAATCAAGGTAACCAAACGATTAACTTTTTTTAGCAAAACTTACAAGGAGATGATCTTCTTCTATGATCGGAAGAAGGACTTATTGATCTTTGTCTTTTTTTAAAGTTATCCTGACGATGATGGACTGTTTCATTTTCTTTAGATTTTTTTTCCATTTCCTTATATTCTTCATAATCATTAGGTCTTGTAGGATCATAATCATCATCTAAAGATAACGGTGGTGGCAATTGTTTTTTCGTGCCTTTTCCTAATTTCCTCTATAGATAATAAATAGATGAATAAATAATTTATTTAAAATAATTGATAATTATTTAATTATACTAACTTTATCAAAAAGATTACGTTGATTTCTCATGATATTTGAAACAGTTTTATATTCATTATAGACATCTGACGTCGTAGCTTGCTTTGTGACAGGAGAATTTTTTTCTTCTTCTGTTGTTAATGGTTCAGCTGTTGCTGCTGCTGTTGCTGCTACTGTTACTGCTGGAAGCGTTGATGATGTTGTAGAAGTAGTTGCATTGTTTTGAGTAGATGAGGAAGAAGAAGAAGAAGGCGGTGGTAGTGGCGGCGGCGGAGAGGAAGAAGAAACAACAGTAGTAGTAGTGGTAGTAGCAGTGGTAGCAGCTCGAGGTACAAGTTTTGGTTTAGCTTGAATAACAGGTTTCCGTTGAATTATAGGAACAAATCGAGGAGTCCAACCCGCTGACATCAACACACAAGTTTTTTCATTTCAGGAAATTTTATTTATTCAAGGTAAGTACTTTATTCTTCAAGTTTTGATATGCTATTATTAGAAGAATAATGATCAAGAAAATATGCTTGAAACAGATCTGCATTTTTTAAAAAAATGGGTTGTTTTATTTTTTATTTTTTTATTTTTTCGGCAATTGCAGATCTGTTTGTACCTGGAAGAGCAGGTTTTTTACTTGGTTTGGTTGTTGTTTTATCATTTTGTAGCGTGGTTTCTAAAGTTGATTGTTGTTCTGTTGTTTCTTCTTTTTCAGAAGTGTGAGTAGGTGGTGGTAAATCTCCATATAATGACATTTTTTTTTACAAGATTTGGTTGTAAAATATTAAAAAATATATATGTTACACGATTTTTTCTAAATGAAGATTTTTTCAATAAGAAAAAAAATAATTTTTTTTATTCAACAATTCTTGCTGATCTGTGAATAAATTGGTCACACCCAATCTGGTGTTCAATATTGTTTTACTTTTTGGAAATGATTTTCAAGGAACTATAAGGAATTGTTCAATGTTGATTTTATAGTTCTAACAAGACAATCAGTTGTCGGTTGTAACAATACATTGGTTTTAAATGGAAAACCGAAGAATCCAATATCTCTAAAAGGAACATCCGCATGTACTTTTTCATTGCTGGACTCTGCAATTTTATTGGCAAAACTTTTAAAACTTTTATTTAACAAGAATTGCCTTCTATGCTCCCTTAGCTCTGGACCAACCTCTTCTTCATCAACATACTTGGTCTTTTCCTTTCCAAAGATAATTGGATTGATTAAATGTATGTGCAAAATTACAATCAACTCGTAGTCACAAGGTTGGAAAAATAAATGTTTAATATTGCTATATAGCATGTCTATTTTCTGGCTTGAATGACGAATGCCATTTTCATGAATCTGCAAGTCACCAGGTACTTTTTCCCCCCTCCAATTCTGGTCTCACAAAACATCTGCCAGTATATGTTCTGCTTCTTTTTTAGTCGAGTTTTTCTTGTGTTTAACTATTTGTTCATGTACCTCAATCATATTGTCTCTTTTTCCCTCGAGATGGCAAGCCAAGCCATCAGTTTGTTTCTGTCTTGCTAATTCAGCTTGATGCTGTTTTCGTCTAACAATCTCATTAAAATATCATCTTCACCTTTATTCTCACTTCTAAATTCTGCACAATTTTTTATTTGAGGATTACTAGCTGGATTTTTATCATTTTTATCCTCTTCGTCTGTGGTAGCATCTGTTTTATTCTCGTTATCCTCTTCGTCTTTGAATAAAGTGGTAGTATATTTTCTATTCTCATCGTCTTCTTTGTCTTCAGTGAAAAAAGTGGTAGCATCACGGTTTCTATTTCCATCTGTCACGTATCATCTGAAATTTTGACGGTATCAATAATCCATAAGGAATAGTTTTTTGTTTGATCATCTTTTGCTTTAGGTTTTGTTATATTTTGAAATCCAACAATTAGATTCAAGACCATTCCATTTTTAAAAACCTTATTGCTATTTGAATTTAATACATATGCAGATTCATGAAACTCGGTGCCAATTCCATGACCAAGGCTTCTAACAAATTTATCTGAATAGGAAAATTTTATTTTTAATTTCTGGAGAAAACAAACAAATTTATTTTAATTGAGAAAAAAAAGCTTTGTTGGTTTTTTTTTTAACAATCGGAAATTCGCAAATAACTTTTGATGTTATTAATTAACTCAATCAATTTGCATTACATTAATAATGAGTTTGTGGTTAAGAATTACGATGATTTCATATTACCAACAACAGATGAGTGCCTGTTGAGAATACCAAAAATATCAGAAACAATTGTTAAGTTCAAGGTATTAATTATTATTTTTAACATATCACCGGGAACATATGACCAGTTTCGATAAAGTAGTACGTTCTCCAAGTGATAATCCACCTGATGCTTTACCACAAAGAGAAACCATAGTAGTCGTCCTGTACAATTTGACGTTACTTACATTAGTTAATATATAATAAAACAATAAAATAGTACGTGATATATCATGAACTTGTGATTTTTATTTTGTTATATTAGTTATAGTATTTGTAATTGCAATTGATAAATGCTAATGTTAAAAAAAAGTTTTTTCGGTACATGCTTGCTCACGCGATTTTTTTGATAAGGTGATTGATTAATTTTATTGGTTGGTCACAGAAATTATTAAACAAGCATAATTTGAAACTGTTGTTGTGACAGATTCGCCCCAAAAAAATTTCATTCTTTATGTGAAAGGACCAACATTCATAGTGTTTCATGGTTGAGAGTGCCAATGAAATTTTAAGTGGATATGGTCCAAAAAATTGGTGCCAACTATAGTAAAACTGCAAAAAATTTTATTTTTCATTGGATGATAAAGTATTTAAATTTGATCCGATTATTATTAGAGTGGCAAATCATGAAAAAGCAATTTTTCAATGTATTATGGACCATGTTTTGGAGGTGGATTGAAAGGTGAAATTTTTAAGGAAAATAATGCATCTTGTTGTGTTTAACACAATTATGAATTTAGTATTTGATCTGGGTTTTCTATTGATGAATATAAAGTGTTTCAAATTGTTGAGAAGAAAGGCAAAGGAATTATCAATAATAATAATGATGATGATGATGATACTACTCTTGGTATTATTGGTAGCAATTATATTCCAAACAGAATGAAGATATAAATTATTAATTAATAAAATTTTAAATTTATATTGATTGAATTGAAGTGGATGAAACGTAGTGTTTATATCAATAATCTCCTTATGTAGTATAAATTTCTGCCCATTTGAACACATTAATCACATAACCCACTTTCACGCGGCTTTAAATCTTCATTTTCTTCTAATACATGTCGTTTGATTATTCTAGGTAATATTATATCGCATACACGATCTTCACGTAACAATTCATCGATAAATTCATCCATATGTACAATTATAAACCCACCATCTTAAACAAAAAAACATTATACATTTCAATTTTTAACTCAAATCAAAAAACCAATTAAAAATTTGGTAAATAGTAATTACCTATTGTTCTTTTCCTTAATTTACGATAGTCATTCAATAATGGTTCAAGGTATTGATAAATTTCTAAAGAGGTTCCAACAAGCCTTAGGTAAAATGCACCTAATGCCCTCAAATATCTAAATTATATAAAAAAAAAACCGTCTTATGAGTGATATATATTAAAAAAGAAGATATAATGTTTTTTATCACATACTTGTAATTTTCATCTTTAATAAATTCTATGATGATCTCTTTACTTGGTTGTAGTTGAAGTAATTTTAATGTCAAGCAAAGAAATTCAGTAGGCTTTTGGTTACCATATTGTCCACCAATTGATTGTAAGTCAATAGCTCGATCTATTAAAGTTTCAGCTTAATATAATTTTTTTTTGTTAAATTTTTTTAAAAAAGCCCAAGATGAATTCAAAAATTTTTTTTTTCATTTACCTGTCAATCCAAAACAATATTCTTTCCAATAAAGAGATTCGTATATCCTAGTCCTTATAATTTTTTCTATTAAATATTGTGGATTTGTTCCATGTATAGCGATCGCATCTGGAACTGTACGATTTGCCATTTATTTTTAAACCTTGTTAGAAGAAGAAAACATACTAATCCTTTTTGTTTTCAAATAAACCAAATAAGCGATAAATAACAAATTAATACTTCACGTACGTGATAATTAATAAAATTCCGCGGCTAATATTATTATTCTGTAAAGTATAGCTAGCACCTGATGCTTTCCCTATCCAATAAAAGAACCGTCTGCTGCTGGGATCATAATATGCCTCTTTTCCAGGAAATTTATCTCAATATGTTGAAAATTAACTAATAAACAATTATATCAAGAGTTTATGGACAATGTAAAGAAAACAAAATGGTAATTGACAAAAATATTGCTACAGCTAGAGGCCTGCATCAGGTTGGGTCCCGTGTTTCAACCCGACCCGAACCCGAATTTAAATGAATTATATTGATATGTAAATTAGCCATTTTTTTCGATCCTCTTATGAAAAAATTGAAAAAATTGATGATGCCATCTGGGTAAAAAATGAAATTAAAAGACATTGTGGCAATCTAACAATTAATGATGATAGTGTTGATGCTGACAGTAATAATTATGATAATTCTATGCAAGCAATATTATCAACTACAATTTCAACTTCAAATTCAAACGTAGAGTTAGGTGATTTTAGCAAATGTTATGATGATAGTGATGATGAAGATGATGACAAAGATGAAGTTGATTTGTATTTATCAACAAAAATACAAAAAGATGATAACTTTAATATTTTAGAATGGTGGAAAGACCATCAACATGTTTATCCAAGACTTTCAAAGCTTGCTGCCTATTATATGTTCCAATGCACCTAATGAAGAGAGTTTAGTGCAGCTGGACTTACGGTTAATGAGCTTCGCTCAAATTTAAATCCACAAACAATTGATAGTATTCTTGTACAAAGAAGCTCATTATAGTAAAATTTTCTTTCTTGTAACTAACAATTGCAATAAAAGTTAAAAAACGGGTTTGGATTGAAATTTCTTGTGTAAAAGTCGGGTTCGGGTTGAAATTTTTATAATTTTTTGTGTACAAGTTGGGTTCGGGTTGCAAATTATAAATTTATACGGGTTCGGGTTGGGTAATCATTCAATTATGATGACTCTAGCTGCAGCTGTGAATAACTTTCTTGAAAATTATGCTGAGGTCCATGGTCTCGGAATAAATGTCAATCAATTAACCCAATTGTCCAGCAGAAGTGAGCTATAAACCTGTCCATTGAGAGTTCCTTGGTGGCCTAGAAAGTAGAATGTTTAAATCATTAAAGTACAATGCCTTTTGTAAATTATGACATCAATTAACTCCTCAGATCCAAATTATGAGCCCAAGAACAGATTTATATGATACTTGTCAATACTTTTGCAATGGCTTATAATATAAAGTTCACTAAAAAATACAAAAAGCATCTGGTCAAAGCCAAGTCATTACAACAAAAACACTAAATTGCAAAGAAAAGTTGTTGATCAAAATTATTCAACAAGATACAGCATTGCAGTGTTGATGCTATTGCTCATTACAGTTATGACTGAGCCAAAAATGTCCATGTACCACATTCTGATCAATGGGTAAGTAAAATTTATTATCTTAGTCCTTATGAAGTCCATCTATTTAGCATTCAAAATGAAGCAGCACAATAGCAGATCAACTATGTTCTTGATGAAAATGAACTGGTAGGAAAGGTTCTAATGACACTTAGTATATATTACCTTTAATGGAATTAAAAAATAAAGGCAAGAAGTATCTGAAGATTACCATAATACTGGTAGACAAAATAAAAATAAATATACAGTAACTATCTGGTTTTATTTATTTCTAGTAACTTGTGGTTATTATGAAAGTATTAAACTAAATTTTATGATTCATAAATGTATAAAATTCAAATGTGATGGTAGTTTTGGCCTGATTAAAAACTATATTGAAAAACAACCATGGATTGATTTTAAAGTTTGGAAAGTTGTTAATGATCCAAGGATTCCCCAGGTATTAAAGCCTTACCATTTTCCCATATTGACATAGAATACCTTTATAGTAATATTCACACATTTGTCAGAAGGATATTACTTCTCCAAAAGCAGTACAGAGTGCCAATGGCTAACTTAAGATGGGACTGTGTATCCTAATTTATTATTTATTTTTGTTTTTTGTAGGCTCTTCACAGGTTTGTATTAATATATGTCCTTTTATTAGTTATAATTTTTGTTATTCCTGGTAAATCTCTTAAGTAAATTTTTCTTATCTGAAATATCATTTATTTTAAAAACACAAGGAGCAATTTGTTCCTTTTTCACTTCATTAGCATTTCTTTAATGTCACAATTCTATCTTTTGCCACAAGTAGTTATAAATTTATCCAAGTAGCTTTGTATATAGTAGCAAGTTAACCTTTGCCTGCTTTTTAAATCATCATAGGTAATCAATCCCTCCATTAAAGATATTTGATTGTCATACCCGATTGCTTTAAGCTGTTCACCTTTAATCAAACCATTTGTCATAGCTTTGGGTCACGCTATTAAATTCCCATAATATTTTGAAAAAAATTTTCGTTATATTAAAATTCAAATAACGTGATCCAACGAAATAGGTATTAGGTTATTTTTTTTGTCATGTAAAAAAATCATAGAATCACATATTTTTTACAAATGGCATATTAATATAAAACATATTAATATATACAAACACAAACGAAATAGACCACAAAATTCTTTGAAATTAATAAAAATTGCCGGAAAAAACCAGCAAATTAAATTAGTATTGTGCACTGACATTAGAGGTGTTCAAAGTCGTTTCCTGTTCCTTGTTACACATAACCTCAACAACGGTAACAACAAAGTGTTCACCCAGTTCAAAAAGTAGCTTCTACTAATAATGACAATGGCAAGTATTTACCCAGTTTAAAGGACAGCTTCTTCTACTAATGATGACAAACAACAACAACGGCAAAGTATTTACCCAGTTCAAAGGGCAATTCGTCTTCATCTGAACCAGTCACTTCTTGAAATATAGTAACAATGCCTCTTTAATTCTTTCACGAGTTGACATTTTAATTTTAATAATAATAATTATGCATAAATTAAAATGATCCCTCCCATTCATTACCTAATAAGCCATGCGAACATAGTAACACAAAGAGAGTTTATAATAAATAAAAGAATTTTTTAATTTTAAAAGCTTTTTTGTCAATTTATAATTACAACATAAAATTTAAAAAAAAAAGAAGTCAAAAGATTTTAAAAAATCTATTTACAATTAGTTTCGGTATATGTTTGATCAAAACATACAACAAATATTATCCTAATCCAATGTTTTTAAAATAAATAAAAATTACAGTAGAATTTTTTTGTTTTATAAAAAATGATGGATGGGGGTTAATTAAACCGCAAAAAAAATCTATAATGTTTTTTTAATTCCTCAACTTGATCATCATCAATCAAAATTATCCACGACCTAATTCTTTTCTGATTCAGCAGCAATAAGTTTGTGATATAAAACAATCAATTTATCTGCATCAACTTCACGTGGCCAAAAATAAGTAACAAATCTCCATAGATTATGTTTGCACTCTTCTCGTTCCCCGACAGACCTTTCAAAAAGGATCCCTTCAATTCTAGATCCGATTTTTTTCATGTGCTCTTTAATCAATCTGGCCTTTTCTTTTCCCTCATATTTTATTGATTCCTATATTTTATAAAAATAAATATTTTCCGAGTTTGGTTTGTAAAATAAATAAATAAATCTTTTCCTCAACAAAAGGCTTTTTTTTTTTTGAATAATTACTTTTTTTAGCCATTGGAGACTATCTTTAACTGGACGCAGCAGTTCTTTGCATATACGGTTTATTGACTCTTCATTGGGTTCATCCTCAGTCGAAGACTTGGTTACTGCCTTTTTACCTTTAATGTCATTTTGAGCCTTAAATTTACGAGTCTAAATGGGGTTTTTAACAAATCAAACGTTAACAACTTTTTTTTGTTGAAAAAATTTAAATTTGTAAATAAAACTTAATAATTACCCTCTCCTCATGTCCATTATCGTCAACCCATTCTCTAATCACCTTCAGTAAATATTCCGCTCTGCGAACTACCTTTGCTATATTGGAGGTTCGTAGAGAAGCATCATCCTCATCAACGGATAGCTTTTCTCTAAGGCCTAAATCTGAATCTTCACGAACAGCACGCCAGTTTCCAAATCCATGTTTATATATTCCTGAGATAAGTAAGGAATCTTCCTCTTGACCCCATTCTGTGAACCAATTATTTACAGGTTTTAGGGAAAATTTGATTGTAAAGCGTGATGGGTCATTTATTCCTAATAAATTAAATAATAATAATAATAATTAGAAGGTTTTATTTAAATAAAAATTTGATTTATTTTATTATAGTACCTTTAAGAGTGTTAACTGCTCGAAGGTCTATAATTCTTTGTATAAATGAACCAGCGTTAATTTTCTCGATTCCTCGATAAGTAGTCATAATCGCTTTGCCACGAGAACTTGAATGTGAGTCATTTAACTCTTCGTGAGAATTTATTGCAGATTCACAATTAGCATAAAGTTCGTCATACGTCTTTATCAAAATCTCACTATCCTTCCCCGTCAATTCAGCATCTGTGACTATGTCATCATAACGTTGATGTATATCACCAAATTTCATTATTGCTCTAATAAGTGCTCTGATTTCTTTTTGACTTAATTCCTTTCTTGAGCTGGATGTGCCACGCCTAATAGAAGGTTGGTCACTGTCAGATTCATCGGCATCGGATAAATGTCTTTTTTTTGCACCATTCACACCTAAAAAAAAAGAGATCATAATTTCGGTCAGTTAAATTATGTAGCTTTTTTTAAAAAAAATTACTATTGCAATTCCAATTTTTTCTTTTTGTATGTTTAAGTAGTGCGTCATCCATTACCTTTTTTATTGTTAGTCTTTTTAGATTTTTTGGGGTGGTTTTGGTAATCATAGTCAGATTCTGAATCAAGATAATTATCAGAAGCCAAACTTGACTCTGAATCAGAATCTGAATCCAAATCATCAGCCCTTTGGTGGTGTTTAGTCTTTTGCTTCTTTGAATGAGAAGAATCATCTCGAGCCAATCCATTGTTATTCTTATGAGCGGATCTTTTCTTGTGGCTACTTCCTTTCTTTTTGTGGCTAGAACTTGATCTTTTCTTTGAATTTTTATAATCAGATTCAGATTCTACATTATTATCGTTGTTAATGTTGTTGTTATTATTTTGTAGAAGTGCAGCCTTTCGTTTCATTCCTGATTTATATTCTTCTTCTTCAACCGACTCTTGAGTTAAGGAAAGTTTGTCTCTCTCTTCTTTTGGAATTATCTCATCCCAGCTCAAATTATCACCACCAAAATCCGCAACTTGAAACTGCTTAAGGAACTCTTCGCCACCAAAACTACTACTACCTTGGTCACCAATAGTGTCGTGAGTTTCAGCGCGTGCAAGTATATCATCAAGATCTATATCATCAAGCTTTTTAGAATTGTCTCCCTCTTTGAACATATTTTGTGCACCAAATTTTAAAATTGCAGATAATTCTTCACGACTAAAATTGTCAGATGTCTTGGTGGTTTTGGCATTTTTCTGCAAAATGCTTTTACCAGATGTATCCATTTGTTTTATAATACAATACTCCAAAACCATCTTACGTTTTGCACGTTCAAGAATACTTTCTTCTATAGTATCTTTAGTTACAAATCGATAGACATTTACATGATTTTTTTGACCAATCCGATGTGCTCTTGCCATTGCTTGAAGATCATTTTGTGGATTCCAATCCGAGTCGAATATTATTACTGTGTCGGCTGTATTGAGGTTAATACCTAATCCTCCAGCTCTGGTTGATAAAAGAAAAACAAAATCCACTGAATTCGGTGCATTAAAATTTTCAATTGCTTTTTTACGAGCTTCCGAAGGAACACTGCCATCTAAACGCTGATGTTGATATCCTCGTAACCTCAAATAATCAGTCAAAATGTCTAACATACGAACCATTTGAGAAAATATAAGAACACGATGACTGGATTCCTTTAATCTGGTGAGCAACTTGTCTAATAATACCATTTTCCCACTATTCATGATTAAACCTCTTAGTTGATCTTCTCTAGTGATGGTTGGAGGTTCAGCATTAGGAAATAAGAATGGATGATTGCTGGCTTTTTTCAATTCAACGGCAATGTTCAATAAACTCATTTGTGAGGAACCAGTAACACCTTCATTAAGTACATCAAAATTTTTGGTAAGAATATTTTTATAATAATGCATTTGTAATGGTGAAAGCCCAACTCTAAGTATTCTTTCGGTTTTTTGTGGAAGGGATTTTTCTACATCTTTCTTTAGACGCCTAAGCATATGGGGCTCAAGACTTTTATGAAGTTCACGAATTTTTGCTTCTTGTTCCTCGTCTGGTGCATCAATGTCAATATCGGAGGTGATCAAAAAATTAGGCATAAGAAAATTAACCAGTGCACATAGTTCTTTAACAGAATTTTGCAATGGTGTGCCTGTTATTAAAAGTCGATTGGCAGTATTAAAAGTAGATAAAACCTCATGGAGTTGTGATTCACTGTTTTTCAACCGATGTGCTTCATCAACTGCCAAATATTGCCACTTAATATTTCCTAATTCTTGACGATCTTTAAGAATGAATTCATAGGTTGTTACCAAGGCATTGAATTTTAATCTTCTTGATGATGACGAAACATAAAATTCATGTTCTCTTATTACTTCACGACTTTGGGAAGGACCAGTATAATAAATAACATTAAGATTTGGTGCCCAAGTTTGAAATTCATTTTGCCAGGAGCCAATTGTTGATAAAGGAACTACTATCAAATAAGGACCATACTGCTCCAAAGAATGATACAGGTAAGATAAAAAGGAGATTGTTTGGACCGTTTTCCCTAAACCCATTTCATCAGCCAAAATACCGTTTTCATTGCGAGTCCATAAATGAGCAAGCCAATTTAGTCCAGTAAGTTGGAAATCCCTTAATTCACCGCCGGTTAAATAAGAAGGTTGTTGCGTCATGGGTTTAAAGAGCGGCCTATTTTTTGTAAAAATTTTGCTTTTATGTGGGATATTTTGGTTATTGTTTCGATGATTGAAGGCATCAATTTCAGATTTAAATTCACTTTGAATAAGGTCGGTTGATTCCCAGGTACAATCTTGATAAGACAAACGTTTGAATTTGCACAAGTATTCAATACCAGAATGAGGGTTATCTTCGGTAGGTGATGTTGCTTTTTTTGATATGATTCTTTCAACCGTCTTGTAATCTTTTAACATGTCTCTAGACATTTCCATCCTTACATTAAGGGTTTCTTTGTCTTCGGGACTCTCGTGCAATGAATATTGTTCAGACAAATAATTTTTGATATAATTTTCCAATTTTTTAAAGCCCCTCAAACCACGACAGTTTTCAAAAGTTTCCCAAGTATTATGCATATGGCTCCATCCTTTCCATTTTATTAAAAATTCCATGTTTGTTTTAGGATCATCTGGATCATCAGAATCTACATCATAATTAGATGGAAAAGTTAACAATCAGACAAATAATATTAATTCAGATTACATTTGTTTGTGCTAAATAATTGTATTAGATAACTTACTATTCCCTCCTTCTATTCTTCTGATGTCATGTATGCTCTCAATAACATTCTCTTCTACAGTAAATACGAAATAAAGTAACAAGATTAGTTAATGGGTAATCATTTCTTTATTAACTTGCATCGTGCAATTGTTCTTTTTTTTTTACCTTCTTCTGGTTGTAGATTTTCATAAGATTGAGGATCATCATCTTCATAGTCGGCTTCAAGTTCAAGTTGTTTATCTAACTCATCCTCGTTGTAGTTTTTTACAGTTCTATTTCTTCGGGAATATCTATTTTCAATAATATAATCATTTGCATTGATAAAAGTTTTACTTCTTTTAGATGATGTGGCTCTTGAAGAAGAATGCCATTCTTGATCATCTGAAGATTCAAACTGTGAAGAAGCATCTTTGCTGGTATGTGACGATGAACTGTCATTTGAATTAGAACCACCCCAACCATCTATTATAATAAAAAGAAATTTTAGGAAGATGTTGATCGAATTAGCGAAATTGTAATTAAAATTAAGCAGAGTTATTTGATTGTTTGATTTGCTGTTGTTATTTTAAGCGATACCTTGCAATTCATTTACTCTTGATTTTTTAGTTTTGGATTTTTTAACAGAGGATGTTGCTTTTTTCCTTTTACGAGTAATATTATCATAATCTTCTTCATCAGATGAAGAAGACGACATCTAATGGAAGAAGAATTGAATTAAGAATAAACAATGAAAGTTTAGCATATAAATTAAACAATTAATAAAGACAAAATCATTAGAGTAATTATCGTACCTTATAATTTACATTATGTTTTTTGGTCGCTGTGCGGCTTGATCTTCTAAGACCATAGAGTTCAGGGTCCATATCCATAAACTCGGAACCTTTTAATAAATAAAAATGAATGTATAACAAAATATATAAGTATATATACACACATTCATTCTGTATTAATGAATAATTGATTAGTTATCAATTATCAAAGGATAAAAAAGAAGGAAGAGAACCATTTTTGGACAGTTAGAGTTTTCGGGAGAAGGGCAAAAGAAATGTGAATAACGTGTAAAATTAAGGTTATAAGTAAAATATGAATAAAGGAAAGGAACAGAATAAAAAAAACACGAAATAAACATAAATCTATAAAACTACGATTTGATTCTCTCAAGTTTGTGAAAAGATGATCACTGCATATAACGTAAGAAGGTTGTGAAATAATGGGAATAGAAGAAATACTACAAATAATGGTAAATAGCGGAAATAATAAGAGTCAAACTAATAAAGGACTGAACCTTTCCTAAAAAAAAGGGGGATTTAATTTCATGTTTTTTTGGTAGATTTAAAAAAGTGAAAAGATGAATCGAATGGGACAAAAGATGAAAGTTTGAATATAAGTGATAATATTCAATATAAATAAAATTTGAATAATAATAATAATAATAAGGAATACTATAACAAGCATAAAATGAAAGAAGTCATAAATGACTTGATAACATTAACATTCTTTTATGACTTGAAATGGTTTTCTTAATTCAAAATATTTGATTGAGAAAGTTCAAACTTTCATAAATTTTTTTTTGAAGCGATATGTAACCAATAAATAGAAATGGATGTATTATTATAAATATTTTAGTGACTTACCTGTCATCTTTGAATAGGCTCAAATAAAGAAACAAAATACTTGGATAATATTATTTATTGAAAGTAATAATATTAATTAGGTATATAAGTTTATATAACGAAAAAATGAGGTTTTTTTTTTATAAAAAAGATTGTTCTTGGAAGTTTTGTGGAACGTTTGGTTCTAACCGAACATATTTAATGAAAAAAATATAATTACTTGTAACACAATTTCTTGTTATTTTTGAATAATTTAGCTTAGTTTCCCCTGATCCAATTTAATAAAATAACCAGCAAAAATAAAAGCTAACATATATCAACTGTTTATTATCAATTAGACTCTTGGGATAATTATTATTAATAATAAAATAATCAATTACAAGATTTTTACATTTTCATGATCTTAATCCGGCATTTTATCTAGTATACAATTTGACAAGAATCTAATAAAAATTTGTAATGAATAATTAATCTTAATCCCAATTTTAATAGTGATATTAATTAATAAATTAATCAAAAAATTAAACGTGTTAATAGTTACCATTATAATTACTAATAGTTGTGCCTTTGTTTGAATCAACAGGTCGAGGAATTTTAATACAGTTATAGTAATTATTGAAGGATCAATTTCTATTTTATCCATTTCATCTGATTGCTTTTAGAATATTGGTGAATTTTCATATGGAATAATGTCATTCTTAATTCATCAGCAAACAAATCACGTAAAAATTAAATCAATTTTTAGCGGTTGGACGTTTGTTTATCAATATCTATATATATGTATGCTAATTCTATATAAAATTTGAAGTATTGTTTGAAAAACCAGATTTTAATCCTTTTCATTGAAAGACCAGTGTCACCTGAATGATGTAGACCAGTTGATATTACTGTTATCGATATTCTGATATTGTAAATGTCGGATGTCATTGTATATTGTTGACTTCTAGAGCTACGTATGGCGGTGCAACATGGTCACTTTTGGTTTGATCTACTGGGCATGATAATCCTAGATTTGCAAGATTTGAATATTCAATTGTATGAGAGTTTTTTCTTGATTATTGCCACAATGAAGATCATGATAATGGAATTTTTGTTCATGGATCTTTCTAATCATCAGTAATACGTAAAAAATTATAATTTCATTATACCTTTTTAAATTTTTTTAAGTTAATTGTTAAGTAGTCATAGAGACTTCCTTCAATAACATGACCCATTACAAATATATGTTCTCCTGTAATTGGATCTTGTGTTAATCTATAAATTTCAATTATAGGATAATGTTGATAAAAGTTTTTGAAATAAGAATAAATAAAAATAATAATATATTTATTTTACCAATAATAATTCTAAAATAATATATTTATTTTACCAGTAATAATTCTAAATAATAATAATAATAATAATAAATTTTATATACCTCATTAAGAAATTCATCAGAAATATTATTTTGTGACTTGTGCAAATTTTTTTAATTCTACAACATTATCACTAATGATCCCTTTATTGGATGTCAAGTCTATACATTACTATTAATCCAAATAGCTATGTATACAGTCGCGAATACACCTTTGATATCTATTAAGTCATCATATGAAATCCGTTCAAGACAATCAGTATTATTGCAGAATGTTACTTTTGGTTGTGCACTTTTAATCAGCTCATCTATTATGTCATGGCAACTATTCCATCCTCAAGTATGTATCGCATGACTGACACCATTCCCTCATTAGCATATTACATATATTACATTTACCGTTTCCTTCATCTCATATATTTGAATTATTAACCATCGTCATTGGAAACAATAACAGTATTAAGATGTCCATCTTTGCTTGAAGTCTTGTGTGATCTTATCCATTTTTTTATTTAAATTTTTATTTAAATTCAAAACATAGTTATATATAGGATATACTGTAACAAAACCAGACAAAATGAACATATTAAGGGAGATTTCAGGGGTGGAATGGCTGGTTAATTAGGGTCGGCATTGGACAATGTCCGACAGCTTGTATTATTATTGTATTAGTATATATATATAATAAATAACAATTGTTATATATAATAATAATAATAATAATAAAATGAAAAACTTAGAAGAAATTACGTGTAACATCTCATTTTCTATCTAATTAAAATTTTTTTACAAAAAAAAAAATCTTTATTTTGTAATTTTTAAAATTTTAAGGGAAAGAAACTAATATGTTTCGGTTCAATTCTCTTAAAGTTCCGATATCTAAAAAATTTTTATTGTATCCATTACTTTCTAATTCGACATTTAATGTATCCACGACAATTAATTCCATCACCAATACTACTACTAAATTTTCCAATAATAACAACTCTTATAAATTTTTCAGCAGCACCACCTCAGCATTATCAAACAATGTAAAAAACATTACAGTTTATGGTTCTGGTCTTATGGGAGCAGGGATTGTACAAATATCGGCACAGAATGGATTCAAAGTGACGATGGTTGATTTGACAGAGGAAGCATTAGAGAAAGGAAAAGATATTATCAACGCATCACTTATACGAATAGCCAAGAAAAAATTTGAAAACGATGAACCGAAACAAAAAGAGTTGATTGAATCGACTTTTCAAAATATCAAGACTACCACCAACTCAACTGACGCTGATGCAATCAATGCTGATTTGATAGTTGAAGCAATCGTGGAAAATATTGAAACGAAGCGATCTTTATTTAAGTTGTTGGATAAGTTAGCTCCCAAGTCGACTATATTTGCTTCAAACACTTCAAGCTTATCGGTATATGAGATAGCGAAAGTTACAAATCGACTTGATAGATTTGCTGGATTACATTTCTTTAATCCAGTACCACAAATGAAATTAGTTGAAATTGTTGTTACAGATCAGCTTGATAAAAATGTTTATGAAACTCTGGCGGATGCTACAAAAAGAATGAAGAAGGTTTCTGTTACTTGTAAAGATACGCCTGGGTAATTACATTATATTATATTTTTCTAATTTTTTAGTTTTATATTTAGTAAAGGAAAAAATTATTGAATTTCTTTTTTTGAAAAATAAAAAAGATTTATTGTCAATCGACTTCTTGTCCCTTATTTAATGGAAGCTATACGACTTGTTGAACGTGATGTTTCAACAATACAAGACGTTGATTCTGCAATGAAATTGGGAGCTGGAATGCCCATGGGGCCTTTTGAGTTAGCTGATGTAAGTATTAAGAAACATATATAATTTAAAAAAGCAATGTTAATTCATGCGTTATTATATATAATTGGGTTTTTTTAATAGTTTGTTGGGTTGGACACACTTAAATTTATTGTGGACGGATGGCGTCGTGATGGTAAGGTTGATTCCAATCTTGTTGCTCCAATTAAATTATTGGACGAACTTGTTGAGAAAGGACATCTTGGACGTAAATCTGGAAAAGGTTTCTATTCTTATTGATTGAAGTGTATAAAAAATTATAATGTTTATAATATTTACCTATGTGCCCGTCATATATAAAGAAAAAAAAATTTAAAGAATCATAGTAGAATGCATAATATGATAGTTTTTTTTTTGCATTTTTATATTGAGTGCGTTCAGAACCATCTTTATCTACATTGGAAATTATTCCCCACAAAAATGGAAAGATTTTAAATAAATACTGCTCAGGGAGGAGTGTTTATAATTTATTTTTGAGATATAGAAAATATATATACATTTTTATTTATTTATTGACAGATCAATATTTAACAAATAAATATTTTTATGAAATTCATGATTTATTAAATGTTCTATTATGCGTATATATATATATATATGTATGTGTGATATGTCTATATATTATATTATAGTTGATGTAAAATTACTTGTACATAAAAAAATAAAGTATTAATTAATTTTGTAAATGATAAGAAATAGAAAATGAATGAATAATTTATTTTTTGGGGCCGATTTATTTGATTTTGACCCACGAAACAACAAAGTTATTAATTTCAACGGTGGTTTGGATTGGAAAAAAATTATTCTTCTTTTCACAACAAAAATTCTAATTTCATCACAAAAAAAATTAAGAAAAAAAAAGGAATGAAAAATTAGTAATACATTAATATTATCTTACGATTAATATCTATTTTTGTAATAAATAATGGAAGAGTTTTTAATGATATTGTTAATTGTGGAGAGAGGGAGATGAGGAAGGCTGAGGGAGAGGGAGATAAAAGGGCAAAGAAACGACGAACAAATGAATGAATCTTGAAAATCTATTTCTTATCATTTTCAACCAAACCATGTAATTCTTTTGTAAATTTTGCAATTTCAAAAGCAACACCGGCCAAACGTTGTTTGGAACCTTTATCAGAAACAATCTCGTTATCTCTTTCTATCAATGTTTTCATTTCTTCCATTTTATCAATGCATCTTTCCAAATCTTTTAGTAATACACTACCACGCTTACGATATGGAGTGCCAGTATTTTCTTCAAATGAGTCATTACAAACTGCAATCACATTCAACAATATTGTTATTACTGTGTTGATTTTCTCTATAATCTCACCGCCATACGAGCCATTGCGAATGCTGGCTAAAAGGGTTTGAATTGCTTGTACAATTGCTTCCGTTTGACGCTCAAGGAAATCCTTTAAATCTTCGGTATCAATCCCTCTACTACGTCCATTAACAATGCTATTTATTTTTTTATCTTTACCAATATCTAATACATAAATAATACATTATTATTATCCACACAATATTAATTAATTTTATGCATAAATATACTTTTTTTTTTTGAAAACAAAGTTAACTCTTACTTTGATCTTGATGATTTTGATGAATTCCATCGTTTAGCGATTGTTTTAATTTTAAATGCTTCGCCACTTCAACGACAGCTACAGTTAAATGACTTGCAGCTGCGTCTAATAAGCTAACTGGTGAAAGACCAGCCCCGGTTGCATGATTTTTAGCCGCTGCCATTAAATTGGTAAGTGTAGCCGATAATTTCGTTTTAAGTTGGGTCAATTTCTCTTGATTTTCAGCTTTTATTGATGAACCTTTATGTTTTTCATATAATTCAACTTCTTCTGTTATATCCTTACATGATATAACAATTGATTTCATTGCTAATAGTACGTTTGCAGGATCCTCGGATCTATTAAATAAATTTTAATAATTATTCTTACTGTATGCATTTATAATATACAGTCAAATCTCAATAAGCCGAACTTTTGGGAATAACAAAAATGGGATCAGCTTATCAAAATTCGGTTTACGATGATCTACAATTATGTTTTTGGTTAACCACTTTTGCATCGTTATAAAGCGAAAATCGGTTTATGTGGTTCGGCTTATCGAGGTTTGACTGTAAGATGTAAAAATTTATATAATTATTTTAACTTTTGAATTTTTTCATACCTTCCAGCTCTTAATAAATTATCAATTGCTGCTTGATATGATGCGATCTTGGACTCATCAATTACGCCATCAGGTGTTGGTTTGATTCCATGATCATTTACAACATCTACTTTTGGTGCTTCTTTATAAAATGATGATGTTGCTATTTGAATAAAATTATTGTTAGTCAATTATTATTTTCATAATGCCGCCTTCTTTGTTATTAAGACACACACACACACACACACACACACACACACACACACACACATAAACCTACCTTTTAAATTTCTTAATTCTGTTTTAGTTTTTTCATATTTACTTTTCCATTCATTCGCCTCTGATTTTAATAAATTGGCATTAGAAACATTTTGTTCTATTTCTAAGGTTAATTCATCATTTTTTTTTGATAAATTTTGTATCTCTTCTAGTAATTTTGAGGCTTCTTTTTGTACATCACTTACACGCTATTTAGCAAAATTTTTTTAGGTGGGAAAAAGAAATATTGAAATTAATGATAGATAGAAAGGAATTAAAATTTTAAAACCAATTAATATTTGAATAGAATAATATATATACAAACTTCTTGTTGTAATAGATGTTCCTCATTTAATTTATAATAATCGTTTTCTAATTGTGAAACTTTTGTTGACTGCTGTCTGTTAACTCTCTCTTGTTCATCTAATTGCTGTTGGAGGTCAATCACTCTTTCACTATCAGTAGTGGGTCCTGAATTTGATTTTTTCAGATTCTATTAAAAAAAAAAATAATGTTATTTTTTTAAATATTAAAAAAAAACAATAAGAGGTATGATACTTTTATAAGAATTATAAGAATAATAAGAATAATTTAAAAAAAACCAATAGTTACAGAAATTTCAAGTTCAAGATCTTTTATTTTCTTTTGTAAAGTGGCTACTTTTAATTCATAATTTGATTTAATTTTTTCTATTTCAGAATTCATCTGCAACATATATATTTATAAAAAGATATTGATGTTATTCAACGATACTTTTTCTAAAGTAAATAGAAAAAGAAAAAATAAAGCGAGTAAAAAATTTACATTATATGCTGATGTTGATGGTGGTTCAATCATACCACCAATATCAGCTATTAAAGTATCAATCGAAGGATTTTTATTTTTCAGACTGTTGGCCGTATCTCTATTCTTTTGATCTCCTCTACTAGATGCACTACTAACACTATTAATATAACGACTTCCAAAGTCTGATACAGAAGAAGCAGAAGATTGAGTACGACTAGTTGAAGTATGGCTAGTTGGAGTATGACTAGTTGGAGATATTGGTGACATGTATTCTTGTGGTAGGCCTTCTGGCAGCGGAGAAGAATTATTAGAAGTATTTTTATTGTTGTCAATGTTGCTGTTACTATTATTTTTTAACGTGTAAGGATTTGAACCAGCATCTTTACTATTCGGTTTTTGGATTGTGAAATCTACAACTTCTTGTTTAAGAGTACTAATTTCAGGAACTATATTATTCTTATTGGGAGCTTGAGAAGATGCAAAATCAGATTGATTCTGATTTTTTTGTTGTTGTATTGGATTCTTGTTATTCATTTGAGGAGGAGGTGGTTGTTGATATGATGGTTGAGGAGGTGGTTGTTGATATGATTGTTGTTGTGGTGGTGGTGGGGGTGGTGGGGGTTGTTGATTTTCCATTCTTTGTTGTGAAAACTAATTAATTAATAAATGATCAAGATAAGAGAGAAAGATTATGAATAAAATAATTTCATGATTGTAATATTAATGCTCGATATAAATATACACACATCCATATCTTTAAGATCAGGAAATCTTCTTTCTAATTCATAATATACATCACTCGCTAAATCTTTAAATCTACTTTTTGGTAAAGTTGCTAATTTTTGGCGTGCTTGATTTCTTTTTGGATGAAATTCATCTCGTACAGGGAGAAATGGCGCTATATATAATACATCGACAAGTAATTTAAATCAATATTATGGTTGCTATTATTTGTATTTGTATTACGGTTTAACAATTACCTTCATTTGAATCCCTAATTCTTCTTGTTAACTCGTCGTATACATCGGTCGACAATTCTTGAAATTGATTTTTCGTAAGTCTTGTTAATTTATCCCTAGCATTTGTTCTTGAACCGTTAGCTTGCTCTGAAAATTGTTGTTATTTAATTGGTTGGTTAGTATAATTAACCTTTTATATATTTTTTTTGTTTTTGAAGATATTAGTTCTTTTAGCCTTGAGAAAGAATGAATTATTTAATTAAACAAAAAGATCAATATTTATATGTGATCGATTGAGTACCTCTGGCAAGATGTGATGAAAGAAACCTTTTAAATGCTTCATAATGAAGTATGGCTGTCTCCATTATGTTGTATTAATAAATTATTAAGTTTTTTTAGTAAAAAAAAAAAGAATCTATATTTGATGGTAATAATTACTCCCGTCAACGGGTTTTTAAAAAAATCTTTTTATTGCAAAAAATTAAAAAAAAGTTGTAAAAAGAGAGAAAATATATATATAATTTTTTTTTCAAAAAAAAAATATTAACATTAATGTAATTTTTAATTTATTCTATAAATAGTTGGTTAATAAATAATTTCCCAATAGTTTGAAATATTATCAAATTTTTTACTGGATATAATTCGATTTTTTTGATATAATAATTATAATATATGGAAAATCCCGAGACGATCGTGGATATTTACGTAATAAAATTCCCTCGGCATAGTGGAAGTTTGTTGTCACACGAAATGTTATACTCCTGAAACTTCACCAGTATATAATTGCTACCTATCTAATTGGATATCAAGTTCAGATCCAGTCACTTACTTTTTATTGCCAGAATGTTTGGCGTGTATTGTAAAGCTACATTGCACAATATAAAAAACTAGTGTAACATTTTAAATTTCCACTATGCTAATTCCCTCTAGTTCCCGAGACTTCCATAATACAATTTGTAGATCATGAGAAAATTAGTGATCCAGTTTCCTACTAAGCAAACAGAGCCCGATATTTTCTCATTTACAATCGGAACTACATTGACTTCTGTTTTACGAGCTCGACTGTATTATTAAAGTTTGGTAAATGGCCTCGATACGATTTTCAATTTTCATTGTAAATTCGGCCAAGATGGTCTCGGGTTTTCGGTGCCCAACAAAATGAACATTGTGTCTCCAAAAAATTTCAGTAAATTAATGAATCACAAAGCGATTATAAAAATATTTATTATGAATATAACATAAAAAGTTCGACCGAACAATAATTTAACAAAGGAATAAATTAATCTTTAGAAGGACATTTAGATTTAAAAATACTTTTATTGCTGTGTAAACTTATCAAAAAATAGTAATAGAGCTAAAATTCTCCCGACTAATCATGATTTTCTTACCACTATACCCAATCCAGAAAGTTGGTTGTATGGCAATGACATTCAGCAATCAATTTTGAAAGGTTTTTGATTCCTTCCCTAATATAGAGACATTAATTATAAAGCAACCAAAAGAAAAAACCAAATCTTCATAAATAAAACCTCTTTCAACGAAGCAAAGCAAAATTGATGAGAGAGGGAATACTAATCTAGCCACCACCCTTGAATATTAAGAGGTATTTGAATAGTGTTAGGAATAATTGCTTATTTCCTCACTAGAAAAAAAGAAGATAAATAAAAAAAATTACATTATCTTATTGTACTGTTCATTAAGGAATTATTGTTTATGGTTGTACATATTCGCATATATTAAAAAAAAATCTTTTTTATGAAAAATCTCTCATTTTATTATAAAAAAAAAAAATCAAAAGAAATGTGAAATTGAAACTATGTGAAATTGAAATTTATAATTAAAATTTTGAGGTGGGGGTGTTTTGATATGAAATTCTGATTGTCTAATTTGAATTTCACATGTGAATTGATAAATTTCTTTTTTACACGCAACAAAACCAACAATTTACATCTCTGTTTCATAGACATAATGATATTTTGAAGAATTTTTCCCGTTCTTCGGCCATAAATCTCTTCAATTCGTTAACATTCCTTGGCATCTCTTTTTCAACGTTATTTTTTATGATATACCACATATTTCCGATGGGATTGAATACTGTTGGATAACCAGTCTATTACACGAATTCTTTTTTCAGAAATGTGGGATTTTGTAACGCCATCTTTTACAAAGTTTAAAAGTCAAAAAGTAAAGAAAAGATAATGCGATAAACATATACAAGCATTATCATGTGAACAAGATATCCAACCATTTTTTTCATTTTAAAATAAATTTTGAATTATATAAAATTTCTCTTTTTTTCAATAAACAGTCATCCTGCTACCATATTAATAATATCAGGGTTGGCCGCATAACCTGGTTGCTCTGATTTTGTTTGATCCCCAAAATTCAGTACGGTATGATCATAACGTTATGAATACTTTATACTAGCAAAAACCCATTGGTTTTGAGGTGGGGCCATTGGTTTGAAAGGCTGTTAAATAGTAAAATAGGTTTTTTTTAATTATCATTCTACTGACCAATTTACACATTAAAAATACTCGTGTTTAACATCGAGACACAATAAGACATAAGGTTTGAAAAAAGGCCCAAAAAACAAAATCGGCTGATATGCTAAAATGAGCATTTGACTAAATTGACTTAACATAATGACTAAATACCTTAAGGGTAAGGAAACAAATGGGGGACAACTCAGGGTTGCACATATAAATATTGTGAATCCAAAACTGTCACGCCTTCTAAAATTTAAAACTTTATACATGAGCGTTTTTAAGCAGCCGATCCACCAAAGTTGAGTTCCCAAGACTAATACCTTTATATTTCTGAGATTTGTCAATTTTGGAGCGAAAATGACTTTCAAGCATAAAATTATATTGAATAATATATACATTCATTTCTAGTTTCTAGTAGTAGTTGTTTGCAAATAAAAATTTTAACAAACAATGAAATTAAAACAATTGTAATATGTATAAAGAGAGTGTGAATGGTGAATAGATAAAGAGATATATGTGTAGGACTCATGTATATAAACAATTAGAAAAACAAATTTAATGTTGTACATGAAAAATTGTGTCAATTTGAAATTTACCAATTGAATTTTGGGGTGGTGTTTGAATACAAAATTTTGATTGGCTAATTTGAATTTCACGCACAACATGGGTTTTTTAATTTTAATATTAACTCCTTATTCATAAAAAAAAATATATTTGAATTGTAAACAAAATTTTCATTCAATAAAATAAAGAAACCACAAATCATAGAAATGAATCAGAGTGCTAAAATTGTTTACAAAAATGCTAAAATGAACTAAATAAATAAATATGTATGTATCCACCATGTTTTTGGTGACCTTTCATATAAATAATTCAAATAAAAGCTTGATCTTATTTGCAAAAATAACCTATCTTCTTTATCCTCAGAATTTATACCAAGATTCATAATAATTTCCAGTAATGCAGGAAACTCTGCAGTTATTTGTGTTATATATATATATTGTTTCCACTTTTTATATTGCCCTTTCTTTGAAAATCCCCAATGAAATTAATTTACAATTTTCCTAACATACTTATCTTAAATGATATCAGCATCCCATACCATTTTATTATCATATTTTTTTCTACATTGTTTTCCCTTCCAAAAAAAGTCAATCCCAATCCTTCATCAATCTCACTTAATCATATTCCATAAAATTCACCATTCAATTTAATCTTTTGCCTAATGAAAGAAGCAATGTCCACTATAGTTGCAGTCAGTCTGTTGCTCCAGTAAGGTGCTTGATCAGATATCCTTTAGAATAGATGCCTCTAGATATTTATCATGCTTAAAGAAGAAATATACTAACTTTCCTCTGAGATCAGGTTGAATTTCTAAATTTGCTGCAAAGCTTCTTGTGTTTAAGATTTTTAGCTTCTGGAACAGTTTCTTTTTCTTGAATATGTTTCTATTAATGTCAAGATTTTATATTTAATATTTAATATTAATATAATTTTAATGTGTGTAATATGATAAATTCTTGTCATTTTTACTTTTTTCAACTGATCCTTTCTTTTTAAGAGTTGTAGAAAAGGTAGCCAGCCATATATAAAATATATAAAAAATAAAGCTGAAGTTTAAAGGTTTCAAGGATTTTAATATTAATTGCGGGTTCACCAGATCTATACGTGTGACCCTGAGTTGTCCCCCGTTTATTTACTTACCCTTAGGTATTAGTCATTATGTTAAGTCAATTTAGTCAAGACGATTATTACCAAATTAGGGCTTTAATCCCTTTACGCAGCCAGACGTGATTAATATAACTTGTCAGGTGTTAAATCTTAATACCTTTACTGGGTCTGATTTCATATGAATATATACTCGTTACGAAATTCCCTTTTATATTAATATATTTACTTCATTATGCTTAAACATGTGATCACAAAATAATGACATTGAGTAAAAAATTTTTTTTAATTAAAATGAAAAGAAAGACAACTGTTCCAGACATAGTAAATAATTTATCAGATTCTGACGAGTCAGAAATAGAACCATAACCTTGCATTAGTTATATTGAGGCTACTAAAATTTTGAAAACATTCTTTTGTTTTTGGAGCAACAAGATGATGAATTTGGAATTACAAATAAAGATTTATCGGTTGTTCATGGAATTCTTTGAAAATGTCACAGAATAGTCAATTCAATCCACACCATATGCTTGCTGACTATTTAATTCATTTTTTATTCAATAAATAATTTTCTCCATAATGAAATTGGTTGATTCTTTACTAATACATCGGTATACATGTGTACCGAAACTTCGTTACAACGAACATAAGTGTCCCAGATAAACGTTTCGTCATATAAAGGTTTTACTGTATATACTGTATATGAAATAAAACTTGTAGAAAAACTCTTATCACACCTACCTCAGTTACACTAAATCGACTCGTTCTTTATTTTGATTGGGTATAGAGGATTTAATGTAACCGAGGCAGGCAACTTGTAGTAATAAAATTATAAATAAATTAAGGGCAAATTTTGCTACGTTGAGAGTATGGCTGTACCTAGATTATTTTTTGATTTACCTAATTCAGGTAAATATTTCCAAGAGTTACGACATAGTTACGACATAGTCGTGTCGTAGTACCATGAGTTATAGTTCGACAATATGTTTGCACCTTTAAATATAAACTTTGACCTTTCTTTAATGCAAATCAGCAAACTCAGGCTTTCGTATGATAATTAAGACAACCAAATCTAACTGTTTGTTTGTTTGTTTGTTTGTTTTCTTTATTACTCAAGCTATGAAACATTAAATTTTACATCAAAACCTAAGCAACCCGTGAAGCTTGAACCGTGGCTCCAAATCTTAAAATATAGTAATAGTAAAATTGTGCAACTTTGAGCTTCATGACGGGAAGACGTGAGGTATCAACGAAATAAAATTTTGTTAAATCTTTCATTTCGATGCATTTCCTTTTTTTTTTAGAGGAATTAAAAGATCTACAAGATCAATAAAAGTTTCAACTTTTAGGTGACTTGCGCTGTACAATATTGAAATGGGAAACTTTTTCGAGCTAGTCATGGAGAATCCTTAGTGAAAGAAGCAAAGTATTTTCTAATAAGGGAAATCCTACCAGAAGGGGTTACATAATCGTCAGACCTAAACAACCTAATTTGAAACCGAGCGGAATAATTGTTACAAGAATATATTAGTATTAATAAATTCTATGAACTCTGCAGTAGAGTCAAATTACCCAGAATTAAACTTGGATTTATTAGAAACGGCCAACCAATTGGCTCCATGGATAATGAACGTATAGCAAAAAACTCAAAGATCTGGTTTATTATACTAAATGAGGTAAAAAGAATAAAGTTTCTATTGCTCAGCAAAAGAATCGTGATATTAGCAATCAAACGTTTACCTGGCTTTTGCTGGTGGCTTAATGTTTTTAATCTTTCACTTGGGCTCGAAAAAATTTTGCATTAATCATTTTGTACCACAACAATTTATATTAAATTTTGGTTATTAATTTTATTTGATAGCAAAATGATTTATGATTTTTGTGAACCATCAACATCAACAACTTCAAAACCACCTTTTTTCCATTCACCATAACCTCCAGTCAAACTTTTGACGCTTTCTTTCTTGTATCCCAAGCGAATTAAACTTTCTGCTGCTAAAATACTAAAGATAAAAATGATCTGGTCTCAATAATAGCCACAATCACAGCAACTAATCTAAACCCAAACTAAACTCAAATCTAAATCCAAATCTCAATAAAGTACTTGAAAAAATTTACCTTCTAAGACCTCCTGCACAATAAACAATAATATTTCTTCCGTTATCTACATTAACTTCATCCATGCTAATAACTTTTCTTTCAACATCTCTCTCTAGTACCCCTCGTGATAATGGAATTGCTGTTGGTATAATTCCATTTGATTGTTCATCTTTCTCACGTACATCAAGAATTATTGGTTTAGGTGCTTTAGAAATCATATCGTGAAGTTCCTTTGGTGTTATCTCTGATATCGGATATGATTCACGAACTTTTGTCACTAAATCTGAAAACCTATTAAATTGAAAAATGGACTATAAAATATATACATCGTAATATAAATATATAAATGTTTATGTTTTGGAAAATTATTTTTTATCTCGTTCAATTTACTTTGGAAATTTGTCTGTATTGATAACCAATAATATAGTTCTGTATACATTTTCTGTTGTAGTTCTGGTGTGTCTTTATTGTTATTTAAAAAGAAACTAATTAATAATTATTAAACGAATAAAATAATATTACATTATTAACAATTTATTGTATATAATTTATTTCACCTTTATAAATTTTTTAAACATTTTTATTTTTTGAAAAAATGGCTAATATCCCCCGGAAACTTTTATTCAGATATTTAAAAAAAAAATTATATTACGTACATATATCAATATAAGAAATTCTATGGAAGATATTTTACTTCTATATGAAATGTTTCTCAAGCATGTACTTGAACGTTCTAATTTCATAATAATTTATTATTGTATGGAATGAATGAGACATTATAGTAGCATTCCATGTGTTCATTTCAAGATCCTCCATACAAACCATGCGGTCTTTTCCATAAATTAACAGACGGGGCTGATATAAACATCAAAGATGATTTCGTTTAAGCAACCAAAGATGTAGATGCAACCATGCTTGGTATAATAATATTCGAAGATTGCTATTATTGAATATTTAAACGTGGAATTTTTTTGTTCTTTAAAATTGAAGATAATATTAGTAGTATTATTCACGAAACTAAAATTTGTAAACGTTTAAATGAGGTCCCAGAAGCCTTCAGGGTAAGAAACATGTAAAATTTTGGAAAAAATGGAAAATAATATAGAATAAGTTAATAATGTTTCAACAAAAACAAACTTCATATTCTTTTATCATAAATAATAGAATTTAAATTTTCCAGTGTTATTGTTAGCATATTAATATCATATCAATATGGCAAGAATGTAATGAAATTGGTTTTTATTTTCCTTTAAAACAATGAAACTCCTAAAATATGTATATATATCTATATGCTTCTAACCTATATTACAAAATAACAAATCTAATAATAATATCAATTTTTCACCATTTCTCTTTTAGGAATGTGTGATATCTTTTTAAATAACCACCATAAGTACTGCCACCAATTATAAATACATCAAAGCCATTAGCAGCTACCATAAGATCAGTTAAAGGTATTAAAAAGTGACTCATTACTTTATTATCTACAGGGTTTATG